TAGATAGATAGATAGATAGATAGATAGATAGATAGATAGATAGATAGATAGATAGATAGATAGATAAACATTTAAATGAAATTCTCATTTATTACTGATAGGTGAAAGCATCCTGTTTTTCACTATATAATCATCTTTCAAATCTTACAATCTTCTCCGTTTCAGTTTAATCCAATGACAAGGTAACATGAGGGACTTTCACACAATGTGGGCAGTAAATCATAGGCCTTAGGATACTTAATTCAGGTCTTGTCTAGACTTGGTTCATAGACACAATCAGGCTGGATTAGAATCTTTATTGCAAAGAAGCATAAAGTCTGAAGCACAAAACTTAATTGACCATGCCAGTGCAAGGAAAAAATTAGAGCTTCATATGCTGGTCCCTGTCTCTCCTTACAATTGTGGGAAATTTACTGATCAGCAAATCAGAAAATTCTGATCAACCATTAGTGATGGTATAACTATAGGTGAACTTGTTCTCAGCAAGCCACCCAGCTATCATAAAGGCAGTTAAGGGCTATTTTTATTTCTGTTACCATATTGGTTAACATGACCTCAGTATGTTCATGCCCCACAAGCTTCCACCAGTGTGTTGTGTGGGATAGTAAGATACACACTCCCCCAAATACTCAACAAAACTTAAGTATGTTTCAGCAACTACAGTTCTATCTTCTGCAGTTGGGACAGTACTTCCTTTTTAGATGCCTAGGACAGGGAAGGCACCGTTGTCTTGCTGCAGGACAGATATGATGGTATATATTTTTCATTCCTGATCGTGGGATAGAGACAGCACTGGTCTCTCTGGCTGATGACTTACATTGCAACCTGGATGGTGGGAATGCACCCCTTCTGATCCCTCAGCAATACTTGATATCACCAAACATGCTATCCTTCTGGACTATCTGTAAGGACTGGGTGTTGGGGAGATGTTTTTACATTGGTTCCACTCCTTCCTAAGTTGGAAGTTCCAGTTGATGTGGATGCAGGAAGTGATTCTAATGTAGGTTGCTATAAGAATACAACACCATGAAACTGCTGGGGAAGGTTGTCTGTCAATTCAGGATGAGGTATTCTCTATAAGCTACTGCTGAGCCAGAAATGCTATCGAGGACCTGACCCAGTGCCTGGAAGCTATGAAAATCAGAACAAGATGAGATTAAATCCCTGCCATATAGAGCTGCTTCTCATGGGTAATTAATCAGCCTTGATTCAGATCCAAGGATTGCTCTGGTTAGGGTTGCTCTTTCTTTAAAGGAGCAGGTCCACAACTTAAAGATTATGCAGAACTCATGGTTCCTTCCTGACCAACAGGTGGAGGCTATGTCTAGGAAGGTCTTTGCCAGCAGGCATCACTGGCCATTGAGTTGGTTGCAAGTCTTTCAAACCAGGTCACTCTTATGACAGTGAGTCATGCTTTCACCATCTAACATTTAAACAACTGCAATGTACTTTACCTGAGGCTGCTCTTAAGAACAATTTGGAAGCTACACTTGGTGCTAAATGCAATGGCCATCTACTAACAATGAGACAGTTTAACCAGTGCTTTAGTTGCTGCATTGACTGCTGATAGGCTTCTGGGTCCAATTTAAGATGCTGCTTTTAATCTATAAAATCCTACATGACTCAGCACCAGTGTACTTATAGGATTCTCTCACCTACTAATAGTCAGCTTGTGCTGTAGACTCATCCCAAGAGAAGCTGCTGAGGTCACTGTTTGCCTTGTGTGATGGGAGGAGGAGGAGCCCAGATGTGTCTTCTTGGTAGCAGCCTCCATGCTTGCCCTCGCTTTGACTTTCATAAGGCAGTTGAAACCATTTTGTTTTTATAAGCGTTTGGTACAGATGGTGGATGTGGGCTGCCATTATAACTTGTCAAAGGCATTGATCTTTCATTACTGACTGTTCAGGTTTTACTTGTACTGTATGGTAAGCCACCCTGCTCCTTGGAAGTAGATTGTTCTATAAACAGTGAAATGACTAACTAAATCAAAGAACAAAATGGTTCCTCAGGTGCCTCAACCAGATTCCTCCAGACTGAACAGCTGGAACTACTTCAACATTGGAAACTATGATTTAATCTTCCCCTATTTCCCCACCCTATAAACCAGATTTTTCATAGCAGTCTGCTAAGTCTCAACCTTTGCTAGAAGAAATGTATGTCAGTTTTGCCTTTGTCCCTTGACTAAACTGCTCTAGCAGTAGAGGCTTTTATAGTGGCCTGAAGAAGAGATCTTCAGATCACAAAACCTTGTGTATTTTGAGTTAATATATAAAGGTATTGTCTCAAGATAGATTTGGTCACATTGGCTGGGAATTCTGGAAAATATAATTCTAACAGCATTGGTGGCAGTGGACTGACAGCATCACTAGATGATAACTTAAGTAAGCCACTTAGAGTCATAATTTGAGAACTGAGTGGCCATATAAAATGATTAATCAATTCATTAAATAATTATTCCTTTAGTAGAAATGAATTATTCTCTATTTCTGCACTAAGGATAGTGAAGCCCCAATAGATTCAATATGCTATCTGACTGTGACAGAAAATAGCTTGTATGTTTTGTATCCAGTCTTAGCTAATCTTTTGCATAAGGAGAAACGGATCAGGAATCTCTGAACGGTGCCTTGGTTTCAGATAAGCTATTGTTCAACTATGACATGTGGAGATATAGTAGAATCTATTCATTATCATATTAACAGAGACTACAAGAGCTTTGTAAATAGTAAATTGTGTGAAAGGATGATGAGGCATGGCAATATATATACACTGCATGGTTATTAAGCATCATCATAATTTATTATATAGGCACTGAGCATGAATACCATCGTGAAGAACTACAATTAGCACAGTATTGCACTTCAAACATTAATTATAAAAGGGTATGCTTCAAAATAGAAATACACATATATTTCTAACCCATTCTCAACTTAAGACAACAATATGTCACTTATGTTACTTTAAGTTATACACACTTTAAAAAGAAACCATATCTCCCTGACCAGGAAGCATCTGGGCTATCACAGGCTCTTGGTGACTCACTTTAGATTCAGAACTTTTCTTTCATGCGCAGGTGCTAGTATTAGAGAAACAATTATTATAATTAAGGAGGCAAAATTGCCCGGATTACATTAATATGTCCTGGCATAATATATATATATATATATATATATATATTATTTATCTCTTGATATAATCGGGCTCACTCTGAGAAACATTTTCATTACTTGTGCAAAATGTTGTGTTGGTTTGTTGTGCGTATCTGTATTAAAGAGGTACTGTATGTATAATTTTTTGTTTTAATTAACCCATACTATGCATTTAGTTAAAATAATACTGGAACGTGGCACTGGTGCACTAAATGAGATGCCATGGTAATTTCTTTATGTTGCAGGCTACTCTAATTTTCCCCTTTACGTTGAAATTGTAACACCTATGACTATGGTACTTACTTCTGAATAATAATGTCTAGAGTTGCCTGCATAAGCCAATGCCAATCAAACTGAAACTCTGGCATTCATAGGAGTCACTAGTTCCCCCCCCCCCCATCTCTTTCACATGGAATGTATCAGTTCCTGGATAAATTTGGGGGAAGAGTGGTCTTTTTCCCCTTTTTAATTTTTTTAAAGTTCCTAGCAAACAGTGAGAGTAGGGTGAGGTTTCTTCCTCCATCTACCCTTCTAACAATGATCATCTGATTGTGCAATGGTCACCTACCTATTTATGATGACGTGTTCTCTGTCAGGAAAAAAAAAAATAGATGAAAAAATCTCCACACGTGTTTGGAGGCAATCATTGTAAGAATAAAGAAAATGTAGAAAAATTCCTCCACCAAGTATGAGAGGTATATGTTTTTAAATTTAAAAAAGAAGAAAAGGGAAAAGTCACCACTGACAAGGTAACATTACCATCCCCTATTTAGGGGGGAATTGGTCCCCTTTATTCATATTTTGCTCTGCTTAGAAGTCACCAATCTCATTTGCAAACAGAAGTAATTCAAAACACTGCCACTAACTTATTTTTAAAATGGTCTTAATGAACAACAAGATATATATCCAGTTATATAAATCTTTCAAACATACTGCTTTGACTTACTCGATGTGCTATCTCTATTCAGGATTCAGAGGGAAAAGTGCACAATGAGTTTTGTGCTATTTTTGCAAGCCCAAATTATTTGAATTACAAGATGCCTTCTACCAGAAATAAGGCAAACTTTAAATATTAGAGATCAAAGCAGGAGGATAGAAGTTTTATGCTTTAAAGATCTTTCTGAGGTCAATAGTTAATCATTGTGCATCAAGCACAGAACTCAGTTCTAACATCAAATATATCTTAGAATTTCCTGTAAGCTTTTAAAATGCCAATTGTAAACTTAGGCTTGATAGCATTTGCAAAAGCAAAAACAAACAGACATTTAAAGTCAGGCTAGTTTGGCCATTGCCATATCAATCCATGGGGGAATCAAAATCGACAAGACGGTGGACATAGCTTCACGATTTACTGCCAGAGATATGGAAGGAATGTGATCACAACACCACAGCCGTCATCTTGCTGATTTTGACCCCCTCTACTGCAGACATGGTTGGCCATAACATTCCTTTCAGCAAAGAGGTAAGGATCATGAACAGAGCAGCAATGGTCTTGAGAGAGAGAGAGAGAGAGAGAGAGAGAACTTTAAAATACGGCAAGCAAATCTTTACCTAACTTCCTAGAAACCCAGATTTTCCTAGTTTGGATTTATGTAACATTAACAATTCCAATTAGTTCATATAGACGGCACTTTTGGAAAAATACTATGATATACTTAATTGGTGTGCTTCTGCTTACATTTATAATACATTAAAAGGAATCATTGTTATTAAGAGTTGCCTTAATAATAATTACTTCAATGGCACATTTTACTTAGAATTTCCCCTATCAAAATTGGAAGATAGTTGTTTCAGAATGGTTAGCAAGCAATCGTCTAATCTGCTTCTACTGTTTGTTAACTTTTCTCTTGAAATGAGTAAGGAAATAGTAAAGCTAAATTGATTTTTTTTTTATCCCACCTTTTTTATTTTTTTTATATATAGCTCAAGGCAGCGAACATACCTAATATTCCTTCCTCCTCCTATTTTGCCTTTGCTATTAGAGACCTTATTGCTATTGGCTAAGATGTTTATACCCTGAAATGTGCATTTAAAAATGTTCTTCAGATCCCGCAATGAGGATAAGTACCTGAGGGTTAGCCACTAAAGAACTGTTGAAGACAAGAATTCAAGATTAAATGCCCTTGAAAGAAAGAAACCACTTCATAGTTCCTGCAGAACCAAGTAAGACAGACTAGAGTCTCCTAAGACTGTGGGCCACATTTAAGGAGATTCAGGTGGACATTCTTGTTATTACCTAGTCAACAAAATGTTCTGTATAGATTCTTAATTGTAAATTTGTGCCAAGTGTGAATGTTACCACAGGTATAACAGTATAAATTCCAGTTAAAATCTAAGAAAAAGTTTTTTGAATTAACTATCACATATTTGAGAAGTAGATTCTTGTGCAGTTATTTTTCTATAAGGAAGAATTTTGTTAGGTCATATAGTGCAATCCACATACAATATTTAAATGAAGAAAGAAAGAAAATCAGATTTGTATATGTGTATTGGAGAGGCAAGAAATTCCAATTTCTTATGGGTCAGATCTGTACAACAAATCTCAACCTGTTTGAATGTAGCTTAGCTGTTATGGCTTTTCTACAAACTTTTTACAAGAATGTTATTTCTTAGGGTTTTTAGTTGGGAGCCATGACATTTAAACAGGTATGAAATTGGTTTATAATTTTAATGTAGATGTGTTTTAAGTGTCAGAAAGATGTGATTTATAGACAACCAACAAGTGCATTATTAGGCCTTAAGAGCTTTAAAGCAAGCTTGTTCTAAGTTCAAATGCTGACCACATAATATCTATCATAAAGAAAATGTTCACTACTCCATTTCCAGAGATACTAGAGAAGTCCAAAAAAATGAGGCAATCCACCACACTTTAAAGCCCCTGAGATAGCAGCAGCTTCATCAAGCAACCTTTCAAGTGGTTCCAGTCGAAGGTGAATTTTTTCAGAGACATCTATGACGTTTTTCTATGACACAAAGGGAATACTTCTACATTGCTAAGCCAGCTTTTTTCTGGAAAGGAGAAACCAAATATAAAAATTAAAAGAATGAAAACTTATATCTGAAGCAATCTCATTAGGAACCATGTTTCTCATTTTCTTTTAAATGTAAGTTTACACTGATTACATGTGAAATTATATTACATTAAATTGTTAAATTTAAAACAGCATCACATTTCCATCCTCATATATTCAACTATCTATGGATATCTCCTCTCCCCTGAATATCTGCTGTATCTCTTGTACCCATGTTCTTTTTCCTCATGCCATTTTATTCTAATGTATCTGGGCCTGTAATTACCTGGGACTTGAAACATGTTTCTCTTTTTTCCCCAAAATTTCCACTATAACTAACTTGGAATAACACAGAATGTGATTTTTTTAAATATGCCAGTTTTATATTTATGTGCAGCGGCACATAAAAGCATCTTGCAGTCATCAAGGTCACCCATTCAATTAGATGGAGTGTGATTGCTGTCTGCAGCACCAAGTTGTTGAGGAAGAGGGAACAGCAACTTATAGCTTGCCTGTAGCCTCCAATTTGCCCTGCAGTCTTCATGGAAGGTGGAGGGTATTTTGTCATCAGTAGGCTTTGAACACTGAATAAGGGAAGGGCACTATTCTATTCTTTGTTTCAGGCAGCAACATGTCTTTGATGGGTCCTGACAACCATTTTTCCAGTGTGAGAAAGAGCAGAATGAAGACTATTCCAACTGAATTCAAGACAGAACATATTGCATTCAGAGAGCTATATGGTTTATTTTGCTAATATCCATGCACCCACTGAAATATTATCATCTTTCCACAGAATAATTCTATTCAGGCTTCACATAGATTTCAAATGGCTATCACAACTTTGGATTGAATAGATTCCATGTATTCTCAAAATGCAAATTTTATGGCTTATCACAGTTGTTTATCTTGTACCATAAAGTATATCAAGGCCAGGTAAGGCCAGATTCCCAGACAAACACACTGTCATTGTACTCAGGGATGCTACACTGTTAGATAGTGCATGATTCTTAAATATATTAAAGCATAATATTTGCAGAGATGCTTGATTGATACCTTTGATTTGCTCATTAATTCCTTCTATGCGCTTATAATATAAAATACCTGCTCACTAAATTAATTTCTTATGCCTTATAAACATGAAGTTAAGCAATTTGTAGATGGCACAAATTTTTGAAAACAAAATTTAAAAACAAAAGTTTCCAAAAATGGAAACACATATAGGAATATAAAAAAGTAATTCTGTTATTAGTAGTTCTTATTTTGTAGTTCAGGATACAAACAAGAATTTACACTTCAATTGTTCCTTTCAGAATATTTTAATACATAAACTTTCTCAACAAAATTGCCTCTAATACATTTAATTTTCAGGGTTCTTTTTTTTAACATTAGAAGAAATCTGGACTGGCTAGTCTAGAACTCAGGTTCAGTAAAAAACCTAAAGATCATTATGCCTAGTCTCTGATCTAGGTAATGATACTGTCTTAAACAATATTTATACACAAATCATATTTATACAGATATATAATAAATATATAGCAAGGGATACAAAGTGCAGCTCTCTGTTAAATGCTGCTTGAAAAGACATTCAAATGTATGGGATTCTGGAATGGCTTCAGTTTATGCTTGGACATATACATGCGGGGATCTGCAAATGTGCATGCCATGGACTCCAGCTACATTCTGTGAAGCAGCCAATTGTCCTTTCAAACTGTACACAAATCAGAAAGTGCCGCTCCATTTCTACTTTTATAACCATTATTTATTTATGCGTTTATTTAAACATTGCACTGGCCTTAACCGTAAAGTCTCCTTTGATTCAAGCTCAACTCCTGATATCTTAGAGATATCAATTTATGGGGGGGGGGGGGGGGGGAGGGAACATTTACTTTTTTCCAGGATGGGTTTTGTTTTTTGTTTAATGTTTCAATCCAATCACACATCTAGACTTTCCTGGTAGCTTCCAACCAAGTATTATCCTGCTTAGTTTTGTGAGCAAAGCCAAGGTTGTCTAGGTACTGCCAGCAGGTTAGGTTTACTGGCAATAAGTGATGCCAAAGAAAAGCAATACAGTTGGGTATCATACAATAACTCAACTATTTTATTTACCTAGCCGACAAGAAAATCTACATCTCATATACAATTATTTAAGACATGTGATTACAATATTCATATTTTGGTTTTCTTTATGAAAATACCAGCCATTAAAAAAACCTGCTATACTTCTATCTGCCAGGAAGTTATGCTGCAGTGTAAAGTTCTTTACATACACAAGTACATGAATTGTGCCTAAAATTCCCCAAACTGAAACAGATCTGAACACAAGCCATATTCTATTTTGCTTTCTAACTTCAAATCCTATATAAGGATATATATAATCCTATATATCAGGATTATGAAGAAAATGGGGCTTCAGATATGAAATACGAGCATGTACAAAGTGCTTATTAAAAGTAGACGACTTTTTTTCTAGACATTCATTCTAGACATCCATGAATTTACATCCTTTACATTCTTCTTTCTAGATATTTGAAAGCAATATCTGCAATCCCAATGCTTAGTTATAATAGATTTGCAGTATCCATTAAAATTACAATTCTCAGTAGAAACAACTACTTTACTACATAATAATACATCCTTCATAGATTAACCGAGCAATACATTCTTGCTTTGAGGACACTAATATTTAGAAAAATTTAAACAGCTATGGCAATATAAATAGCAGCTTCTACACATCAGTCTAAATATGGCTATTGTTATAAAGGCACACAACACAAACTGGTTCAAAGGACTTCAGTTATCTTGTGCTTAATTTCAGCTATAATTAACATAGTTAGCATTTGGATTCTGAAATAAATTATCAAAATGGGATATAAGCATTAGGGCTGTACAAAACCATTCAGAGGGGAGATATTCAAATCATTGTGTCATCTCAAAAACTCAGTAAAGCTACCTGAAGGCTCTTCCTATGTTGTCTGAACATGCATGGTATGTACAGATACTTTACTCTAGGATGAATGCCACTTTGCTTCACCAAAGTGAAGCTTCAAAGGTCGAAATCTCAGCAGCGTATGCCCACATGCATGCTCAGACAACATGGTAAGGCCTTTGAACCAGCCACACCTTTAACAGGATGCAGAATGTCAGTGCTTCAAGCTGTGGGTTTGGAGGAACCTTCTGATCCAGTGACAGTCTCGGCAGAAGTGTTGCCTCTGCATACACACACATACAGAACCTTCAGAACAGCTATGCCAAGCCTTTCAGAAGATGTAGGTGCCTTAATGCTTTGAGGACGGTTGCTCTGTTCACACCCCCATGCTTTGCAAAGTGCCCTTTCTGAATATTTTGCATAGCAGTAGTAAGCATGGTATCCTTTTTCTGGCGCTGGAAAATATTTATAAACTCGTGTAGGTGGAAGACCTCCAAAAAGTTCCCATCACTTCCTTATATGGGTCCTTGACAATATGCAAAATATTCATATTTATATGTATGATATAAAATAACATTCTCTAATTTTAATTATTGAAAAAATAAGGAACTATATGGAAATATTTCTTCTAGTTGTACAAATAAATAATTTGAAATACATAAATTTTAAGGTGTTTGCTATAGTCTTTTTTTTTTCAAGTCTACCATTAGAGAGCCAAAGAAAGCAAGACACATTGTTCTCTTATTTGAATCACAATCATTTGTCCCAAGAAATCCATTGAAATGCTTCCTATAAACTGACTGATGAATGAACATGATTAAAATGTTTAAGTGATTCTCCATGGATTCACCAAGCTCCAAGTTCATATTTCCCAGAACTATTCAAAATGGAATCATAAATTCCTAGGAGAAATTATGTAGAAAAGGAGAAAAGAGAACACAGATCTTATAAATGCTAGGAAACAGTTTACTGAAGTGAACTACTTGAACTCCAATGTATTTGGGATAAACATACTAACGGGCAATCCAGGTGACTCAACCTTGTCATAAAACAGTGCCATATTAACTGTTTTTGGACTATTGGAGTTCAAGTAGAAGGTTGAAAGTAATTGTAGAAACAGAACACCATTTTCTAATGTCTTGTTTAGGATGTTTCCTGTTTAAAAGAGAAGGAATACAGGAGAGAAAGAGAGAAAGAAAAGTGGGACAGAAAAGGAGAAAGGGAGACAGAAAGAAAAGAAAGGGAATCTTATATGATGAGAAAACAAAACCTGGTTGGTGGCAGTTTGAGTTAAAGTTGGACCTTCTATGGTTGGCTAAAGTTTAAGGCTGCTGTTCTAGACTGAACTACCCTTAACTAGCATCTATAGAGGTCCTCTACTTTCAAATCTGAAAATCAGTTCAGGCAGTCAAGTAATAATATCACACTGCATGTTCAGACTGACTGTTTCTATAATTGCACCACAGCTGAACATCTAATATTACATTCACAGTGTTCTAGCATCCATTCTTAATGTTGTGTATAAATTGTAGCAATTATTTCCATTTCCATCTCTACATTCTGCATGAAAACTTGGGTAGTTCAAGAATAAATTAACAACAGACAGCAGTAGTTTAATTTGTGGTGGTATAAAAGAACCTTGTCTTGAAATCAGTTCAATTTTTTTAAAAAAATTAAGCTACCCTATCTCATTCATTTCCTGTTTATTAGGCTGTAAAATGGATTCAACTAATTGATATTTGATTCTAATAGCAAAACTGGGTATGTTGAAAAGGGTATATTATTTTGGGTTAAAACATGCTAAATTGCATAATAATATTGCATTCTGCAGCTTAGCAAGCTAATAGTGTTTATATGCTTCTGACCAAATACAATTTTAAATTAAGCATTCTATAATACATGATCTCCCTCCTAATCCTTCAGGATAGAGACCAAAACTTTACTGGATAATTCCTAAAGGTTGGTAGTCCATGAATAGTGCACATGACAATATAACCAATCCTTCAACCACTTTCCATCTTATTTATTTATTATACTTAGAAGGCCACCCAACTGCCTAAGACTCTGGAGTGGCATACAATATTTCACTACAAATTAGATCTTAGGTTACGGTGACCTATGCTGTCTAAGAGCACTTGGGCTCTACACAGAGCTACATTAAATGACATTTAGTATTTCACTATCTATTCTATAATCATAGCAGAAGGCACTCTGAGCACTTGTTGGAGAATTTGTTCAGAGTCCTGAAAGTAGCCTAATATTCTTGACACAGTATACAATCAATTAATGCTGTCTTCTGTATCAATTTTCTGACTGAAAAGAAGCAAACCATTAAGCCATAGGGCTTAATACTGTAACTGTACAATGGCAGAATCAGCTGACAAAACCGTATCTGTTCAAAACCTCAGTAATCTGTGGGAATGCATACAGGCACCTCTTTTCGAACCCCGAAGGCAACCATGTCATCAAGAAGTCTTGGACAACTGCCCCAGCAGGGCAGAAAGTGCAGCCAAGGGGAGAAAGCAGCACGTGGAGATGGCTGGGAGCAGCTTTGAAAGCAACCATATCAGTCTGGCAAATAGCACCGCTGCTTTAACAATCCTAAAAGAAGTGCTTCATATAGGCTCCAATGAAGCATTGCTTTTGAATATTTTGCACAATTTGTCTCTGTGATATGGAAATCACCAGTAGCAATAGCAAAGTCAAAAGTGGTTTCAAGAAAGCAAATGCACATTAATGTACTGTGACAGTTAAAGTTTGGTTAATCAGTTTAGTAGGACATTCTTTTATTAAAAGAAGAATTTTCCTTTAATTCCAAGTCTCTCTTTCACTTATATATTCTAAGGGAGAACCCTGGCAGGCAGAATTCTATTTCATTGAACTACTGTTTGTGAAACCCATTCTCCATTCCAGACTCTAATGCTACACTGAACATTATAGTTTAATTTAGAATCTTTTTTTTCATAGAAGACATACATATTTGACCTAACTGTCCTGAGGGGAAATCCCCTCCAGTCATTTTTCCCCTTAAGCACTATCCCATCTTCCAGTTCCTTCATTAATCAGTTTTTTAATGAACTCATGTGTTTATGTCTGTAGGGTATTTCAGTTAATTCTCTATGTGTTCATCAGCCCATTTCTTTCTCTTTTTCCCAGCAACTAGATCAAACTAATCAGAGGCCGGGATGAACAAGTTAACACCACTGGCATTTATAAAAATTAAATAAATAAATAGAACACCAAGTTTCTGATTATGGGAAAATGTAAGCACTTGTGTCTGGGAAATATATGACAATATTCCCAAGAAAGTCATGGACAAAACTAAAATATTCCAGGTAAATAATAAAAGCAAACTCTGCAGGAAAATGATTTTCAAATTAGCTTTAGAGTGTTTCCATTTAAGGCAAAGCATGGGGCTAGTACCAAATATCCAAATCATATCCCAATGTACATTTCTCAACAAGGACAAATAATTAACAATACTTCTGCATTCCAAGATGATTGAAATGCATCTGCAAAGAGCGTGTGACTACAATAAATTAACCGTCATCCGTCTGTAAAACTCAAAACGTTCCTAACAGATGTTTACCAGGCAGTTTTCACTCTCAGCTGTATACACAAAATGAAAGCTTCACTCGACAGAGCAAACAAAACATCACAAACAAGGCAAACATAACATCAACAAACAAAAAGTCACATTCACATATATACGCAATTTCATGGAACAGCACATGACTGCTAGCACATAAAGACCAATCTGCCAGGAAAGGGTAGCGCAGGGAAGCATCATTGCAAAACAAAGAATGCAGCATAATTGACGGGCTACTCTGAACCCAGTTTGGAACAACTGCTTCTTTCACCATCAGTCTCACTTGGGAGTGGAGACAGATACCAGAGGTTCACAGATGACTGCATCTGATTTCTCCCTACAGAAAGGGGAACAGCAAACCATTGACATAACTTCTCTCATTATAGGGTGAAAAAGAAATCACACATAATTTTCCAACCCTTCCGCTTCTATTCCTCTGGGACAACTGGCAATGTACATGCTGCACTCACCTAATTAGCATTGTTTTAAGGCATGTCATACCAAAAGAAATGAAGCATCCAGTCGGTTGTATCAAGTCAAATACACTTCTTTAAAAGAATGACACAGCTATCAAGATAACATGTACGCACTTGAAACATCCAAATTATTTTAGATGTAAATGTAAAGCATGTAGTAGTTTCTGGCAGGAGTTGTTTGTTCATATAGGCAGATATATATATTTTTTTTACTCAGCACTCTCTTGAAATGAGATGCTCACAGTGGGAATTTGTAATTCTAGGATAGCTGCATTGGAACTTTGGAATACATTCCCAGCTGAGCTAAGAAGTCTAACATACTTCATGCATTTAAGAAAGGCTCTCAAGGCATTTTAAAAACAGGTAGGCCCTTAGCTGATGTTGCAACTGCTTTTTAGAACGATTTAATTCTAATTGCTTTTTAAAACTATTTTAGCGTTGTTTTAGTTGCTTTTAATAGATTCATTTTCTTTATAAACTGGCTTAAATGACACAATAGAAGCACTACAGAAAGGTAAGTAAAAACTGAAGACTAAACAATACTGTATATAATGACTGAGAATTCACAGGTGCCAGAGCACTCTTGAAATTTTTTTTTGCTGAGCAATAATTTTTACTCTTCTGACCTTCTTTGTCCTGGAACTGGAATGTGATTACTTTTATCCTCAACAATTTCCTGGTACAAGCAGTTCAATTTTCCAAAAATGTACTGGCAGGGAAGAGAAACTTGACATTTTTTAAAATAAACTGATTCTCAAGCTCAGTGCAAAAGCAGGCATCAAAATTTAGAAGTTGTCTATATCAGTGTTTCTCAACCTCAACAACTTTAAGATGTGTGGACTTCAACTCCCAGAACTGAACTCCACATGTGTTGAAGTTGCTGAGGTTGAGAAACACTGGTCTATATCAGAGTGCTTGGTTTTTAATTTATTATTAATTAGACTTGGTGGCAAAGCAAAAGTTGCCTAGAAGAAATTGTGAATCCTGCTTTTTATGATTCTGTCATAAAAAGCTACAAATAAGCTCACTTCTTGGTATGTGTTTGTATATGGGATCTGTAAAAACCAGGCAGGGTTTGCTTTTATAATACCCTACTTTCAATACATGGCATCTCTCGTTAAATATAATCATAGGTAACAGGACTTGGAAAATTCTGTGAGTAGTTAGAGAGTTGCTACTTAATGTGGTAGACAACTCTAAATTGGATTTTTTTAGAAACCATCTAATTGGCTGTTGTTGATTTATACATTTTATTTTATACTTGATTTATCAAATTGGGAGGATTTCTCCCCTCCCTGATAGTTACATGGGAATGGGTGTGTAGGGGAGTGCATCTTCCATTTTCTGAGAACAGAAAATGTTGCTGAACAACTAACTAAGCAGGAGTTGATGCTGAGAGCTGATAAGGATGCTGTGAGGATTAGCCTCACTTGACTCATTCTTGCATTTCTGAATGTTTAGCACTGTTTGTAACACTAAACTTTTTATCTTTCTTTTCTTGCCCAGTTCCTCATCTTCTCACCTTATCTCCATCCAGTCCTCACCCAACTTTCTCTTCTCTTCTCTATGCAATATTGCTTTCCTCCCCTTATTTTTTCCTGTTTGTTTGTTTGTTTGTTTATTTATTTATTTATTTATTTATTTGCTTCTTCTTCTAAAAGGAGGGAGGGGGACGGGTGTGTATGTGAGTGTAGTTCTAATTTTCTGTGTAGGAGACTTATTTGTGCTGGAGAGAGAACAGATGGGTTTTATAAAAGGCTATTGAATCTTAGAGGCAACTAGTTTCAATCAGTTGTTATTTACCCAACTGATCCAATTAATGTTGGGGGGGGGGTTCCTTCTGGCCCTGCCCTGTTTTGGAAACATTTTAACCTGTTTTTATAATGTTTTCTTTAGTATCTACTCTTTCTTTTTGGGAACGGGTTATTTTCAATTCAAGATTATCTCCCCTTCAGAAAAATACAGTATATAGGTTTGCAAATGCTAATTTGTTGCATTTAGGCTTTATGCTTGCAAGTAAAAAAATTAATGCTGTAAATCTAGAGAGGAATGTGCAAAGTGGTCCTCAAAGGATAGAGGTACGCTTGCATGACATGGCAAAGCAATTGGTTAGTTATGTGGACAAACAATATCTTAATCCATGTTGGTATCAGATTCTGGCTAGTACTAAGTGGAAAATGGTAACTATCTTGGCTCCTGCCAACACACTTAACCTCATTAAAACCAGCAGCTGTTCTTCAGGAGCCATGTGTAAGGTGAGTAAAATGGTATTGCAATGATTCCCATTAGCTGACCAGGAATATTTACAGTAGCATGTCCTGCACATGTGCTCAGAATAGACTTCAACAGTTACATCTGATCCTTTTTTGTTATATTTGATTAATCTCACTCATGTGAAATAAATGTTATCTATGGTCATACCATATTTCACCCATCCAAAATGGATTTTAATTTTCACTGATTTGATACTTTCTCTTTATGCAAACTTTTCTTCTAAAAAGGCATCTATTCATCTCTTGGAAAATGTCTATTAATCAAAAACATGTAAGACATGCAAGCTGTTCTCAAGGATACTCACATGCAAGGACTTTCCATCTGAAGCTGCAAAGAAAGAAAATAGCACAGGAGAAGCTCAAGCTTCAGTTCAGGGAAGACAGAACAAGCAAAAAAAGGAGAATAGCATATGGAAAGAGAATGAAAACCATCCCCTTAGACCCAGAACAACTGCAAAATGCTGTATGGGCAACATTCAGTGTATTTCACATAAGTAAGCATATTGTGTACTGTAGAATACCCTCTACTTATGTATTATGTACTGACCCTATGCACTCAACTACAGATTCACTTTAACACCACATTTTCTCTTTGATGTTAAAAATGAAGGAGAAAACTAACTGGGAAAAATAATAATAATGATAATTATTACTATTATTATTTTTACTACCAAACTTAAATTCTTACAAAAGAGTAATCCTCAAGGCTGAAAAGTTAAAAAAAAAAAAAAAGGAAAATAGCCTTTTTCCAAATAAAAACAGCACCAACCCCACACATTCCTTTGTACCAATATTTTAAAGTCTATTTCCTCTTACAAAATCACACTTTATTAAAGTTACACTATAAAAAGGCTTCCAGAAGAACATCCATCTGATGTACAGATGCAGCTAGAAAGGGATATTGGCAGCATGCCTTTGCAGATAGATAGATAGATAGATAGATAGATAGATAGATAGATAGATAGATAGATAGAT